CATCGCTAACGCTGCTCAATTCGCTATCCGCCTGTACAAAACTATTATATAATAAACGTATAAAGTGTGAATAAATCCGTAATGTGTTGTGTTTGTTAATCAAGAAGTTTTAAGAAAAACATTATAAAAATATTAGTCTTGGTGAATAGAAAGAGAACCAGCGCCGAGAATCATCGGGAGAAGTCGAAGAAAGAATTCACCGGTGAGCTCCTTTTGTCCTTTCTACCTATTCACTCCAGTAACTTTTTCACGATAACCAGATGACTGCATGAACACGAAGACGAATGTGAAGATAGAGCCTATGTCATCAGGATATATCTTTTATCTTAAAAAAAAAATATATTTATTCATTCTTTTATTTCAGGCAACTAGGCCCATATTATAAATACCTTATAGACTAACATACATATAATATAATATTTAAAAACCAATACAACGATATTGTCTGTGTGATCACGGCACTGAAGACGGCAATCTGCCCGGTAGCGCCGATACACCACACCTTTCGGCCAGTAGTCCTCTTTCATGAAGGTGGGCAGCAAGTCGGTGGGGACCAGGGCCACAAACGCTTTGAAACTCGCGTTGTGACTCGACTTCAGCTGCGTTACCCTCATATATGGAAGGCGGTGAAATAAGGTATAAAAATTATGTGGAATTAATAATTCCTTAATGAAGGATTAAACACTCATCACAACAGATGCATAAACCTATTTGTACAGTATTTTTTTAAAATAATTGTATATTAAAAAATACTGTGCACAATTAGTCTGAGTTGTCTTTATGTGTTATGATTATTAATAAATAATAAATTTATTTAATATTACAATAGTAATGATAAACGGATAATTTTGAATGCACTTGAATTCATAACGAATTACGAATTATATTATAGGTATATATTGTTGCATCTCTACTAAAATTAGTAACACACCTAGTTTTGTAGTAAAAAAAACTCTCTCATTGACAGACGGGACAGATTGCCTGACAGAAATTTGTACGCAAAGATACTCATGCATGCTTATTATAAAATATTGCTATCATTGGTTGTTACACACATGTTCGAGTAAACTGTGGCATACAAATATTAACTTCTAAGGATGTAGTTATGTCCTAATTTTGTAGTATATTTTGCTATTCAATGTTCACTATATAGAATCTACAATCATTGTTCTACAAAACGTTTAGATGTTTTACATAGTATACTACGTGGGTATATCTCACCGATGTCTATAACCAACAGTTGCGACTTACACCCGGTAAAATAGAAAAAACTAAAAAAAAGTAGTCGTTATGATTTTTAAAATCAAACAAGATGAGCCCATCAAAGACAGCTTACTTACAAAGAAAGCAGCGTCCTTGCTAGTTTATAACATTGTAGTGAAGTTAAATAATAGTACCGACCAATTGAATTAGGGGTCATGGTCAGCGGTTGTTGCTCACGAGTTTAGTTTCGACTTTTGTTAAGTTTTTGGCCTTTGGATGACACCTTTCCCACAAGTACACAAGGTCTTGGACCAGTGTATGCATTTTTAAAATATTTTTGTGACTATTCTAAGTTTGTCATGTTATGATAATGTATACAAATGGTAATTATTGTAGTTAAGCAAATCTCGGATAAAAAGTACCCAAAAAAGCTTGTGATTCTTGAATATACCTAATCAAAATGCATTTACGATTTATGATCTATTAACATATTAACGTTAGAAGTATAGCTACGTTATTTATTGAAAATATCGCATACTAAATATTTTTTCCATATGTATACATACTTATATAGATTACAATATCAGTATTGGGGAGAAGGGGATTGTTAGTAATGTAGGTTAATAACTTCATGCAATATACCACGTCAGGTGGACCTCCACGCGGTTCCCCTTGGAAACCATCATATCAAATCACTAGTGAATTTGCTGTGACGGGCTAACTGACCTGACCTCATCTTATCATCCTCCACTGGTGCCCCGCTAGCGTAGCGCAGGCGAAAGCACTATTCCTTTATCATCCATTAAAAAAATATCAGTATTAAAATCTATAGCTATATTTATTATTATTAATACAGAGTCTTCACATCATCGTCGTTTCTTTGCAGTTTAGTTGTTTGTTTATTTTTCGTTTAAATATAGAACTTACATCTTGTTATCTTACATCTATTATTATTATACTTATAAAAAAGACCTAATGTATTGACCACGAACCACAAAGTTTTAAATAAACGTGATACATGACTCATTCAAAATAGTAAACTTTGTCTACGGATATTAACATCCAATTTGTTAAGTACCATTGTCATTTTGGATGGGTTTTTCGAGTGATTTGTAAAATTACCATATTAGTGTGTATCCATTGAGCGGATGTACCGGTCATGGGATGTAAAGTAAAACCTTGAATTATGCGCGTCGAATTCACAACATCGCACCCGTGCAGGCGTCCAATTTGATTTTACATACGTACATACGTGACAGCATGCATTATAGTGCCAGTCAATTGATGACAATAGTACTGTTGCTCAATTCTATTATAGTTTCGTTTTAATTGGACTTCAATTTACATCTATTACATTTTGACTGAGTAACAAGTTTGAATTTCATAGAGCGAAATTAAATCTTCATTGACATTATAGTTCAAATTTGATACTTATCAAACTATTAGTTATATCTTACAGCGATGCCTGGGTGGAATATAAGCATTTATTAAGTTACATTACAAAGAAAACGAGAAATCAAAACTTTTATATTATTCGTATTGGACTACTGTTGGCCTATACAAACAAATACTGGAGAAATAACTTTAATTGTTAGTATCTATTTCTTTTGGAGCAACTAAGTCGCTTAAACAATAAAAAAGCAATGGTGTTGTAAGAACAAAAATTACACGAATATCCCATTCAAACGACTTATTAATTAATTGGGATAGACAGATGCCTTCGTTCTTCTTCTAGCTAAATCGTTAAGGGCTGAAGAAGTAACAATCATAATCCACCTACAAAGTCAGTTTCATATTAGTATATTTTATTTATAGATTATAATGGAATGCTGCTCCCGCCTGCACTAACGGTATACCTACACGTTGGAGGGTCACCAGTGGAGTTGATAGGATGAGCATAAAGTCCAAGGTACAGGCCTCCCGTGTGGAGGGTGAACCTAACATGATACTGTTGCTACAAACGGAACCACTCATTCTCATTTCTGACATTATCTTCCTCCCCCCGCCCACATTAATATTAGGATTATATGGAGTTTATAATGTGTATAATTAAACATTTTTGTTTAGCGGTGAATTTTGGTAAAAGCAAGCAAGCGGTTCATTTTTCAAAGTATTATGTATACACATATAAAAGCTGCCAAGACCTCGAACTGTTTAGTCTGAGAGCGCGGCCCCGTAGAACCGGTCGCCTGAACCATCGGTTGACGCTCAATCACTTGCACGTAAGTCGTAAGTTATATAGTGCATGCATTAAATCTCGCTTTCAACACCTAGGAGTCGTCCATTCAATAGAGCCTGCGATTCCAAAATATTGTGATGAAGGTGATTCTATACACCTATACCTATTATTTATATAAATATTCTGGAACGTGGTATACTTTATTGAAATTTATATAGGCATTGTCCTTATTGATTTTTTCATTAAAATAATGACATAAAGGTACAAAGTCGAGGCTTTTACCATTGTTGGTTCCGTGCTCCATGGTCATCACACGACATTATGTTTTATCACAGGTGTTATGGAAGTGTAATTTCAATTAGGTACTATCTGTGCACGTGATTTATATATAAGGCTTATTGTGTGTTCCGGTCACCGTAGTTTTTTATTTCTTAAAGAACTTACATGGAGCAGTTGAAAGTTTATGCGGGTTCATAATTATATATTTTATACTTACTGGTCAGTTAAAAAGCAAAGTTTTTTATATTATTTGTATGAGTATAACAAATTTAATAAAATAAAAATATTATATTTTTCACAATAGTAGGAACAGAACAAGAGGACAATACCAGAAGGTATTTTATATTATATTAAAAATGTATGTACTATTCGCAGAATTTTAAATTTTATTGAACATAAGACTGTAATGGTTTCAAATATAGTACATAATGGACTCCCACGAGATTTCAAATATTCTGATTGGCAAATAATCACGAAGGTCCTTTTAAATACGGCTCGACTTTATTTTTATTTTGGATAATTGGTCTATTTTTTTAATTGTTTGAGAAATACTGTAAATTATCTATTAATATAGCTATTAATCAATCTATACTTATTTGATAATAACATATTTTATCCTTAGGGAAAAATCACTTTGAAGTAAGATTACGTATATAAATAGATACTAAAAGTATGATACATTTTATTTCTACACAGAACGTTGTGATTTTATAAATTGTCTTGTTGAATAATTTGAAGTTATTGAAGAAAACTTAATTATATAATAGTCTGATGCAACTAATATTGATTCATATAATAAGAGTAAAAGATTATTTGAAATGAAAATTAAACTATCCAGCACGCGAGGCGTTTCAATGCTCAGTGGTGTACTCACCGGTGCATATTAGCACCGTTTTAAAAGTTATTTTTATATTTTACATAAAACTCGTATTTAGCAGATAAATGTATTTATAAACATTCATTGCAAACAGTAGATACATGTGAAATTATTTCGCGACTAAAAGTCATATCTATAATTGTTGATTTATGAGAGGCATTAAACTCTTAGGTGAATATAAAAATATCTGTATCACGGAAGAGGATAAATATTTTTTAAATAGTTTTATTCAAATGATTTGTCAATAACAGAAGTAGATTATGTCATCTGCGTTAGTAAAACCCAATAGTACATAGTTAATAGTCTATATTAGTGGGTTTCTCACATACTTTACTTATTATAGTCATTATTACTGACTTTTTATCATTATTGTAGATTGGATTTCAATTTTTTTTTATTAAAAATTACACTTGAAAGGCTTTTCGGATGATGTAATAAAAATATATTAGCACCGATTGTACAAGTGTTGATCAGATTATCTAAAGTTTATAACAAAATTGTTTGAAAATAAATATAGAAAAGGAATTTGTCGTTCAATTTGAAGAATCTAAGTGTACGTAAAGACTGAGACAAAAAGATAGTTAATATAGTTCAAAGGTATAACATCGTTCATATGTACTTAGACAAGACATGAGATTGAGAAAACTAAAATTTAATTTGCCCATATTATAACCTTTTCGATGCAATAATTACTATTTAAATATAATAAAACATCTGTTCTCGTGACTCATATAAAGTATACTTTTAACAATTAGCTTATATTTATATTTTTGTAACTGTAATCTTTGTTAAGGTAAAGTTAAAACTGTATTAAATGAACAATTTTAGTATGCTCAACTGTATAGTTGTAGTAGTTATACATGATCAATATACATTACATATTTTTTAAATGCAGTTAAGAATATTTTATAAGCAATCTATAAGATCTACCTACTTATCTAAGAGCATTAACTTCAAATAATTTATGTAGGAAAAATTTAAGATTCAGCGTTAAAGCGTTATGAGGTAACAATCAAATTTGTTTTTCTTACAATTACAATTGTAAAATAAAAACAAATTAAAGTGATACTATTCATTTTAAAATAGCAGTAACAAAAAAATCCAGTTCGTTAACGACTGTACTAGATTAATTACTTAATTAGTCGACTTAGCTATGAGTTTGGACATTTTTTCAAATCTACCTGTATGATCATATCATAGAAAATTGCTTGAGATTACCTTATAAATTTGGTATTTACTCATTTTTCATTAAAGACATCTTGTAGTACATCTGACGATGTTGTAACATGGTAATGACGCAGTATTGTGAAGCAGAGTATCTCAAACGCTATTATAATAGTTTCCTCACGTTTTTGCAGATGACTTGTGATCTTTTTATGGGGAAACAGGCTGGGGTGCAGCCTGCAGATGGTAGTTACTGACAAACTCTTCCTTATCTCAAATCAGTCTCGTTATGTAGGTAGGTACCGCTTCGGATTGCTTGGGAACTGTGACAATGAACGTTATACAATATGCAACAATAATTAATGTTGGATTGTAAGTAAAGAACGAGATTACATGCCTAATTTGTAATGCTCATAATCAAATATAATGCTCATATTCATTCTGTACTTATTAATTTCAATATCAACCTTCTATTTATGTGTAAATGTTATGAAGCATTTATTCTCAATGGTCAAAGTTGGATTAGCGACAGTATTTAAAAAATACATAAGATTAAAAATAACCAAAAAATACACGAAAACATTCTATATCTATCTATATATAGATATTATATATATAGATGTTCTATATATAGCAGGCTTTAAAAATTCACTATGACATCCACATAAAATTTCAGAGCGCTTTAAAAACGATAATAATAATTAAAAATGTATCTAATCTAATTATTTATATATTTTTAATGGATATATATATACATGCAATTATAACTAATAAATAGTTAAATAAGATTAATTTACTGACTGTTATAACAGATTCATTTGTATAATTATGAGTATTTATATTTAGAAGAAACTATGTCACAGATTGAAAAAAAATCAGTTCAATACGGATTCTTCACTAGAACAAAAATATTCTGTCACTTTTTGTAGTCAACCATAACGTAATGAGAATTAAATGGAAACAACATTTGATCTGCTGTGGGAATTAAACCAGTTTAGGTATGTAGTTAATGAAGTATCAAAATAATTTCAAGGATTTACAACAAAATAAAAAATTACTATCAAAATAAGTTATAATTAGCATGACTTACCTTTGGCGGTATACTAGTCATAACGTAAGTATGTTGGTTTACCTACTATAACTAAATTATGTTTTTGATGTTTAATTTTTCACTATACGGCATCGAATTTAGTCGAAATAAATAAATACAAATAGATATTCGATCAACTAATAATATGAAATTAAAAATATGTATAATATTTAGGTATTTAACAAAAGACAGAAATAAATGTTTGTAAAAAATATTTCAAAGATATATATTCTCTCTAGTGCTAAGAGGACAACACTTAGTTTAACTCCAGATGATAGTTTAATACTTTGATTGCAATAAAGAAAAAGATTACCTAGATTAAATCTTTACGAAGTTATTATATATACTTTAGAAGTATAATGTAATACTATATATCCGTTTAGATTTATATTTCTTTACCCGTCTAAGGAAAAAAATATGTAACATAGGTATTAATGTAGGTAAATATAGGTGTTAATGAAACCGCAAAATTTTTTAACCGTAACGAAAAAAGATTGTAATCATGTCTTATCTATTTAAAAAGTAAATATAATAATTTATTATGGATCTAATTGAATAAAATTGTAATTAACTGCATCCGAAATGTCTTGCAATGGCAAGGGAAGAGATTGTGGCAAGTCACGAGTTTTTGCCGCAAGTCAAGGTCTCCCGTTGGTAGGTAAACTACGTAATGAAATTCATGGATTCTAATCAATTGCTGGAATGTTAAAATTATGTTATATTTAATTAACTTATATAATTATTAATAATTCAATCCAGATATATAAAGCCATTACTTATTCGGCATTCTTAAAATCATGTGCAGTTAAAAAGTAACGACTGCAGATAATAAATATATAGTATGGTATTAACCGCACTCTTATTAATTTCATTATCACCAAATCCGTTTATAAATATGTGCATATTGAAATCTATTTTTATATAATGAAGTATCTGTAGATATTAAAGGCAATGAAGTATTTTATTTGTATAAAAAATACAAGAAATTGCAATAACATTTTTGTTCAACAATTTTTTTAATTTCTATTATAAATGTTTATATAAATTTATAATTATTCCATGTTATTTTTCCACTTTAAGACGCCTAAGATTATTTATTTATATATGAAGTCTGAGGGTAACATATAAAATAGAAATTACAAAATAAACTTGATATCGAAATTGTTTAAAGTAACTGTGAAAAAATAATATAAAAACAAACTGTTTTATTAGTGACCGTAACATACCAAATGTGTTATATAAGGCAAATTCAGTAAAATATTATGAAAGGATTTAATAGACACTAGAGTTTTAATAATTAATTCGTGCGGAATTGATTAAATTTATGCTACCTATGTAGGTAAATCGATTACTTCCTTATTCCTATTTTCTATATTCGTTTTCTTCAAATGTATTAAAATCGTAGTCTTGATGAGGCTAGACTGTCTGATTATCTGCTTTTGTATTAAGGTGTTACGTAATTTCACGGAATATGTAGTGGAATTTGTGTCAATATAAGATTTTAGAGATATTCAATTGTTTAGTACCTATAACACAAGCTCTGTTTAGCTTGGGACGAGGTGCTGTGTGTACCCTGGGTTATTATTATTATATTTGATAGGATCTTGCCAGAAAGGATTTTCAGTGAATCTGACCAAAAAAGTGATATACACTAAAAAAATCGTATGTTTTCCTATTGTTATATAGGAGTAAATATTATAGTTAAGGAGTTACACTTTTGCACTTCTATAGCTAAACGTAAACAAAGGAATAACATAAAACTCTATCTAGCTTTTATCCCGCAAGTTCGTTGAGATGATCAAGACGATCTGTCAAATCACTGTAGCCTACGCCGGTACCTCTATTTTCGATTTTCTCATTATATGTATGTGTATCTATTTCAACAGAAGTTTATTATATATTCTTATCACATCCTCGAATCCACATAGCATGGCCATTTGTATTTCTATATTACACTTTCTGTGAAATCAACTTCTTCGCTTTATGAAATAATGTCATCAAACAGGTATATAATACCTATACTCGTATTTTATTTCTATGAAATAATATATTACCGAAAACTCTGCATTTAAAAACATATCAGAGAATGGTAAAGTATAAAGGCTGTCTAGATTTGGTAAAGAATAAACAATAATTGTTTTATTTCTTCATTTTAGTGTTTAGTAGTAATTGTATGTTTTTATTCCAGATTCCAAATGAGGGCATTAAGTATTACCGTCGTCCTTGCATTGATATCAGTATGTAAAGCGGCACTTCCCCAGCTGCGCTTCGCATGGAAACAAATAGATTACACTTGGGATTCACCCGCCGATCGTGAAAACGCCATTAAAGATGGCATATTTGATCAGAAAAATAACTTTCCAGTTGGTTTAGCTCGATGGAAAAATAAGGTCTTCGTTACAGTTCCAAGATGGAAAAGTGGAGTAGCTTCTTCTTTGAACTACGTGGATTTGGATGGTCCCTCAGACCAACTGTTAAAGCCATATCCCTCATTCAAAGATAACCTGGTCCCTGATAGTGCAAAGGCACCACCTTCGAACAGTTCTGTAATATCGGTATTCAGAGTACACGTAGATCCGTGCGACAGACTATGGGTTATGGACACAGGATTTGCAGATATATCCGGTGAGCTAATTTGATTTATTGTATAGGTATTACAAATTGAGTAAAATTTTACTACGATATATTTTATTTGCGATTTATGTAATTTAAATACGAGGTTCGTTATTTTTGCAATAAATGCAGATTCAGCGATTTCAGCGATTTAATAATATTTTATTGTTATATTTTAGGAGCTGGAAATCTCATTGTTGAGCCATCTATAATCATTTTTGATTTGAATACTGATCAACTGTTACATCGGTATTTTCTCAAACCAGAGGATATGAAAGAGGATAGCTTTTTTGCTAATATCGTAAGTATATTATTATAAATGATAATATTATTTAAAGTATCTATGATTTTATATATAACAATAAATGTAGGTATTTTATAAAGCAAAAATTTAATAAAGTTGTTGTAGGTACTTCCTATGTGAAAAAAATATTAGTTAGATATGTAATAATAACTTACGTTTCTTGCATTGACATAAGGTGTCGTTTAGCATTAATAATTTGTAAAATTGTTTTTATCACAATGTAATAACTACTCGCCATAATGCATGCATTATGGCACGGTCTAAGAAACTTGAGATTTTTATGTGATTTGTATGCATATAACATTAAGGTTGTATGTTTTGTCAGGTATGTATTTTATTATAATTTAATTTAATTTATTATGCATTACAGGTAATTCTTAATCGATACCTATAAAAAGCAGGAAAATTAAATGGTAACATATGTCAAAACCTACGTAATATTGCAAATTTAACAGTGCTGATTCATCTGTATAAAAATTTCAAAGCTTATGGAGATATCTGCATGCATATGTAAATAAATAATATTGACATTTGCAGGTTGTTGATGTGGACAAAAACACTTGTGACAATGCATTCGCATATTTATCTGACTTGGGAGGGTACGGTGTCGTCGTGTACAGTTTGAAGCAGGATGCATCCTGGCGCGTGTCGCATCACTACTTCTTCTTCGAGCCGCTCTTTGGCTCCTACAACGTGGCTGGAATCAAGTTCCACTGGACCGATGGTGTGTTTAGTGTGGCTTTGTCAGAGCCCCGGGAGAACGGGTGAGTGACTCGAATGACCTTAATTATTTAGTCTTTATTGGAACACGTACGATCGGAGATAAAAAATAACTGTAGGCGTGCAAAAACGTTTAAATTTAGTTAAACTTGAGCTATTATTATAACGGCCCTTATATTTTATTATACTGCCAAGAGGGATACCGTAGTGGCCTCTTTGGGAATGTAAACATATTGCCAATAGCAATGAATTTATTGATATCCATACATAACATAATTATTTTCAAACAGAATTAAATTTTTTCGAATTCCGTATACTCAAATATACAAATTTTATTGAGATATCTCCCTGAATGTAGATAGAGATATTTATTTTCATGTGTATGATATAAGCCCGTAATAGGAAAGTATTTTAACATACTCGTATGTCTCATATATATATATATATATGTAGGCATAGTTAAATATATAGTTAATAAATGTATGTAAATATACTTTCCTATCACTGGTTTATACGTAATTTTGACGTCCTAATAAAATATGTTCATTATGTTCAGTATTTAACAAACAACAGTTTATGTTTGTAATGATTTATAAAAAAGAAAAAATTATTTAATTCTCTCAAGAAAACAAACTACATTATTTAATTCTCTCAAGAAAATAATTAACAAATGACATTCGAAAAGTTATGTTGATGGTATGTCAATAATAAGGTTCATGAGATATAATTTATTTGTCGTTATTTTAATGGAGGTCGCGCTATAAAATATAACTAGTTGACAAATAGGTACTAGTAGGTTCCTTTATTATATTTTATCGTCATGTTTAGTAGGTACAAGTAACTTTCGAAATAGTCCAAGGTTGTTATAACTTACAAGTTTTGGAATATGAAATTATGAACAATAAGATAAAATTACAAGTTTAAATGAAAATTTAACTGTATAGAGTCAAATACAGTTACAGTTAATATTATTAACGGTTATTTGATCCGTTTGGTTAACGGCTTAACTTAAATATACTCATTAACAACAAGGAAAACGATAAATATACAGAGTCTTAAGTATGTTATATTTACATTTTAAGCTAATCAATTAATTCGTTATAAAATATTCTATGAAATTAATAAAGGTAAATAAAAAATATTTATTTGTGTGGATAAAGAAACAATATGCGATTACAGTATATAGTGGATATCCTGTAATCGCATATTGACAACTAGCAAAGACAAATCCTCATATTTTCAGTTATTTTAGCCTACTTTTCTGTTTTCAATGCTGGGCAAAAGCCTTGTTTATACCAACAAATTTGTCCCATTCATCAGCAAAGTGGTACCGGTAGCGGTATCAGTTTTGGTCTACCATGATATCGGTACCCGTCTCTTGATATTCAATATGTGAAGAGTGTGACATTTCAGAGTGCATCCTGGCCTACTCCCACTTATTATTATTGTATAAAAATATTTAATTGCCATTACATAAATGTTTACGTACCCTCAAGTCTTCATTTTACAACAACGATTTGCATCATACAATTACTCATCCACATAATGACATTGTTGAACGTTCTTTCAGCGAATTATTCAATGCACAACACAAAAAACTAAATTATATTAGAACATTTAACGTTATATTGATCGCAATAATTAGACAGGTACTGACAGTTTGTAATTTACGTTACAGATACAGAACAGCATTCTTCCATGCAATGTCCAGTACAAAGGAATTCTGTGTATCCACAGAGTTGTTACGGAATTACACCAAGCTTGACAAGTCTGAGGCGTTCCACGATTTCAAGGTACGTTTGATGGTGACAAGTTGATAACAATCATTGTTGCTAATTAATTAACTATCTGGGCTAATTATTTAATATCGAAGTGTTAAAGTTAGTGAAGCCTTACGTTAATTAACGTAACCTGATAAATTTAATTAAATATTGTAATTTTGATTAGTAACAAATAAAATTATATTAAAATTGTCTATTGATACGCAAATTCTAGTCACTTCGTTTTAACCTACACCAATAAACTCTCATTAATTCTACTACTGGAGTTTAGGGTTTAGTATTTTTAAACTTAGCCCTCAAGTGTTATTTTTATTCAAGTTGTATATTTGGTTAATGCGGTCTCTACTCTCAACTCCTATTTATTAACATAAATATTTTACAGCTGCTGGGCGATCGAGGTGAAAACACGCAATCTTCTGCTAGTTATTTTGATGAAAAAACAAAAGTACTTTTCTATACGCAGGTAAGTGTTGTGTGAGTCCATAACTAATATAGGTACCTATAACTAGTAGAAGTAACATATACTTTTTCAATAAATGAAAATCAAATGTCTTGATTATTTCGTTGAAATTTAGATAAAACGAATAAAGTTTCTTTATTTTACTGCCAATATTTGTCTATATTATCTTGTATTTGTTATTCATAAGTTTGATATAGTTAAGTAGGTATATTAATTTGTTGTGTGGTGAGTGGTATCCACTCTTGTGTGTTCTATTTCTCAATGATATTTAACCTTCAATTCAACGTCGCCGTGGGCAATCTGATAAATAAATATGCACATAATTAATTTCTAAAACTATAACACAATACTAGTTGAGAATAACTAGGTTTTATTCAGAGATATACATCTATAATTACTTGATTTACCTAAAGATACAAATACGGTCTGTATTTATTATGAATACACGGTAAGCAGAACGCGACTGCATTTTGATACCAACTTTATTGATTTACTTATATATTTGTTGGTTACTTATAATTTCCATTATCGAACTAACTCGATATTAAAATATATTTAAGGAGTTTTTATATTGATATTAATGTATATACAACCTCTATATAAAAAGTTAAGAATTTTACGTAAGTAAATATACAAACAAAATGCAGTTTGCTTTTTATCTTCAGGAATACTTAAAGAGTACTTTGTCACAAAAAAATGTAATACCAAATAGCCATATCCTATGCATAACAATTGTTCCATTCCGTTTCATTAGTAGTAATGTAATAGCTAAAAATTCTTTACAATAAATTATTGTATACCATATATTAGGAACATTAATATTTTTTACAGGTTAATCGAGACGGTGTTGCTTGCTGGAACTCTAACAAGCCATATACTCCTGAAAATAACCCTATAGTGATCACCGATCCTAAGCTCTTTGAATTTACTAATGATATTAAGGTAAGTTATATTGTATAACAATTGAAAACAGTTAAAGTTATATGTATTTAGAAATAATGGCTGGTACAAATACAACACCAAGAGATACCAAATAAATAGGTACTAATTATAATTAACTTTCACTCTAAAGTAATTAGGTAGAGTTGAATGATGGAATTTAACAAAACATTTCTTATCCGCATATTCAAGTAACAGAGTTATACGTTATAGTTAGTTATTTGTAACACAGGACAAATGCTAGCTTGTGTCCTGTGTAGTCACATCCATTATGTCAGAGGACATCGCACTCATTATAAAGAAACATTAGGTTTTCAGTAAAAACAGTCTCTGTTATTAATTTATATTTTTAATTTACAGCATTGTTAATATTATAAATACAAGAGATACTGGTTGATCTCATAAATTTTTTGATTATTCTTGTACATACATATGTACAGTTTCTCATTTTCGCCTCTTGAAGTGATTTACTAAGTGATAATTAAGTCCGCTTGTGTTTTGTATTATGTACACATTTTATTTTATATCTATTCATATAAATGAAATCGGAGTGTCTGTTTGTAATATTAAAATAAAAATTGTTTACTACATGCATATGAATATAAATACGGTACATACATCAAAATAACATTTTTTATAATTTTTGTCTGTCTGTTTGTTCCGGCTAATCTCTGAAATGGCTGGACCTATTTTGACGGGACTGTTTTTGGCAAGTAGCTGATGTAATAAGGAGTAACTTAGGCTAGATTTATTTTAGAAACAATCTTTTATTTTACAAAAATAAAATAAAATTTCACGCGGACGAAGTCGCGGGTACAGCTAGTTCTAAGTATACTTGAATCTTATAAATGTACATTTTTTTTTAAATTTGGTATTTACAATTGTTGACAGTAGCATTGTCAGTTTAGGCTAATAGCAAGAGTAGCAAGTGCTATAGAACCGCGTAAAGAGTTCCCCACGCTATCACTTCTTTCTGCACATACATAATAGAAATAAGAATTGTAACCAGTTTTTAAAAAATACATGTAAATCTTTCCCTCGACGCTCAGAAGGAGAAATTAAGGGCTTCTTGAAAGAATTTGCACTAGACCCGTGTTGGTTCTATCCGGCAATGGGCATAAATAGGTATGCAAATACTAATCAGGATTAACATTACAGGTGGACAATGAAAGCAATCTCTGGATGCTGTCTGACAAAATGCCGCGGTTCATCTACTCTAATTTGGACTTGAATGACATTAACTTCAGGATTTTCAGCATTAGTACCACTGAAGCCATTGCAGGCACCACTTGCCAATAATATAGCAATATTTAACTTGCACTTGTCTGCATATATGTTCACGTATTACGAGTTTATGTATATTTTTATTGAAATAAAAACTTCATAAAATATATAAACAAATGGTATAAAAAGTATGTTTGTATGATTCTATTATTATTCTGGTTTATTTGTAAATGTTTATAATTTCAATAAAATGACATGCTAAGATTGTTTACTTGATATAAAAGAACGGAATGTGTCTATTTTATTTATTTGACAGCTACGCTTCACTATCAGCTGTGTGTGACTTCAGTGTATTTTTAATTATTTTGGAATCATAAAATATGGTATATTTGGTGTGTATGTATAGAATTAAATTAAAGTTTCAATGACATGTGTAACCACCGATCATTATAACCAATATTTTTACCGGTATCAAAAAATAGTTCACAACAACAATATTTATGTTTTATGAAATGTTTAATATAAAAAAAACGTTAAGTATAGAATAAATTATAGTATTACATGTACAATTAATTTTAATGAAAAAATAAATATTAAGAAAACATTTTACATATTTATTTCTATCTTGTACGATACACACACAGAAATGCAAGGAGCCATAACACCTTTTCCTCAGGAATGGTAATTTATAAGGGTTATCACGTGCGTGATATGATAACGTGATTTCCGTGGTGCTGTTCATGTTGCCACTTACCACAGTTGGGTTGTCAGCTTGTTTGCTATTCCAATTAGATACATAAAAAAATAATAATCAAATAACCCAATTGAATTAAAATATATTTGATGGTATGATATTCCGAGGTTAATATAGTAGACACTTTTGTTTATCGGGTCTTTACCCCTTGACCCTTGTTTGACACTGATTCTTTATGTCGTACAAATGTTCGAAGTAGATACTGCTGCCTAGCTGCGATGTAAACTAAATAAGGTAGATATAATTCCCAGACAATCCGATACTGAAGTTATGCCATTGTATCTGTGATTCTATTGTTTGTCTTATCTCTTTAGTTTGAAACAAAAGAACGCCGTCGACAAATAATAAAAAACAACAATTAAAACAAAATTACACCAAACAACAACTATTAAAACAAATCACATTAAAATTTCTATCCCGTAATAGTAGGTCATAGTGAGTATATGATTTTCCTCGATTTTTGTTTGCGTAGACTAGAGGAAAAATTCCGGTTCTTCCAGAGAAAGTGAATACAATTTGAAAGCAAGCTTAGAATGAGGCTACATGGTTTGCGATCTCTTATATCTAATATGTACTATGATAATAACATGTAATTTTTCGAACTAACTCTTCTCCACTCAGAAAAAAATATTTTAAAACAGCTTGAAACCCATTCAGTTGTTTTTGAGACAATCGCGAACATATATAAGGGGGTCTTCCTATGTGATGGGTTGAAAAAATCGATTTTTTTTTTCATAAATTGCTCCCTTAACATGTCTAGAATACGGTAGTAAAGCGATTTTAGAAAATTCGAAGTCGTTTTAAAGATACAGCAGGTAAAAGAAAGAGCGGTTCGGAGCGGTGAGTTGGCAGTTAGAGACCGGGCCTATTGTGTACCGTCGGCTTTATACCTGGCCTCCCTTTTATTAATATATTTGTTTATACAAGTTTAGACACGTTTCTACAGACTTAAACAGAAATTTCTATTGTTATAATATTTTACCGAAGTTATTTTAAACTTCGAAGAGAGCAACAGCTACAAATTATTTTTTTTCATAATGAGTGGACGGAAAGGAAGTACGAGTGGATTGGTTCTTCTGATGAAAACCCTCAGCATCAATTTTGTCCAGAAGGCGAAGACAGTTGGTGTAAATGGCGTAAGGCTGAAGCTAATAATGAACTGGACCAATTTCATCACGATAAACCACCTCTAATTCCGCAAGTCCAGCTATATATATTCGTTGTTTAGGAGCAGAGACACAAAACAATAACGAATCTTTGAATTCTTTGATTTGGATATCTTCATTCTGGTCCCAAAGTTGTTGAAATTGCTAGCTACTTAGCAGTTATTATCTTTAATGAATGTTTTCAAGGTATTTTAAAAGTTATGTCGATTATGGGATGCCCTGTTGGTCGTGAAGCCCAAGCGTATGTTGAGAAACGGGATAAAAAGCGAATCTTACGCTCTGAGCGGCCCGTAAGTGATGTCGTTAAACAAGCCAGGATTGACTCAAGAGCTGAACAATCTGCTTTAAAAGAGGTTCCCGCGGAAGAGGAAGGAATAATCTATGGACCAGGCATCGCCGATTAGTGAGTTGATATTTTAATGGTTTTTAACGGACTTGAAACTTTAAACGCGTTTTTCTCAAAACTGTGTTTTTCAAACATTCCTCCATTGTATCTCAGAAACGGCTGGACCGAATTACTTGAAATTTACAGGGCACACTCAATATATGTAAACGCATAGAATGAACTATTATCAATCGAAAATTTTCAAAACTTCGATTTTTTTATAGCAAAAAACAAAAAAAAAAACGCCTAATTTGCAACTTTTATTTCAAATGTCTATCAAAAATCCAATTTTTTTTATATTCATTTGATTATAGGTCATTCCGTGCTTTTAAGCCTACAAATTATAACGCCATTTTTTTTTTTTTCAGATAAGCCGATCAGCCGGAATCGTGGAGGAAGTGGGAGCTCTTTTTTTCGAGGCGGGGGTGTTCAGAGCGCTGTAACTCTAGTTTGACTGAATATTTTTAGCTGAAATTTTATATTTATACTGTCCAAATATGTGTTAATAAATGATAAAAAACTTGAAGCTCTAAATATTTACTGGTCGTAGAAAAAAAATCCTAAAATATCCCTAAAAAACAGGCCGTCACATAGGAAGACCCCCATAAACAAACATTGTTTCGTAATGTATGTAAATTCTATAGATTGTTCTTATTTTATGGAACACTATATATATTTTGTGTAAGGTATAAGAAAAACAATTTAATGTTACTTTTGTTTCGTATGTAACATATATACATAACAATAACAGTATGAACAAAAATCTATTTAGAGATTTATTTTATTTAGAACAAAACAATACCAAATTATGCAGCTAAAACGTTAATAATAATAAATATAACTTACCACATGGAAAGAAATAACCATCCCGTCATCCATACATACCATTAAGAGATAAAAAAGAACTAACATCCAAAATCACAGAACATACTATAATTAACTTAATACCCACTTCCCACAACTCTTTCGTTTCCATAATATGTAATTATTAAATTCGAATTTACTACACTAAGATAGACTTTGTAAAAAGTTCTCAGTCTATATCTGTCGCCAAGCAATTTTCTTTATAAGTTGTGTTTCAGTAGAAAGGTCAGATGTGGCAGTAAAATTCCGGGATAAAAGGCATGAAATCTTAATCCTCTGAAATATTGACGCATGAGTGAATTCACGGAGGTCACGTGATAACGTGACATCCGCAGTGTTGTTCATGTGAAAAGTTAAGGCAGATAACAAAAAATTAAATATCCATATCATTTTAGTAATGATAATTATCAAGTTAAAAATACTGACCATTTCTGGTTTACATACAATATCATCATCCTAATATACAGTACTTTCCACTGTACGTTGATAACATGCAGGAAGTCTAAAACAACATAACAAAGATGGCTTTATTTACGTTGTTTTCTCAAAGGAAATTGAATCGTGGTGTCTTAGCTTCAAACTTCATAATTTGTTACATAATAAGAAACTGATCTACAGCTATGTCTACAGTCTCACATTGACGATAAGTAGTTAAATGCGGTATTTTATAAGAGGAGCGGGGTGCCTCGGTGTCATTTAATACTTTTGTATTGCAAGCAACGCACGCTACGACTTTCACACGATGGCTTCTAAAAACAAAACCGAAAAAGTCGGAATCGTCGGGAGGTATGTACTTTTTAAACATTGTCTCAAATATTAATTCCAAATTTCCTATCACTATTTTAATAATGAGCTTTAGTTCATATCAATCATTTATAATTATTGAATTTTAAGATCAATGCAACTGTCTTCTTTTCAATATTGCACTGCTATACTATATGTTTAGATTAAAAATAATTATAGTCTAGATCTACTTCAGTATCTGTTACTTAAATTCATTAATTATGTATTTGTCCGCATGTATATTTAATTTTAATAACTTTATTTTCCAACATATATATATTTAATCTTCTACAACACTAGTTTTGTCATTATTTTTTGTGGATTATAAATAAAAAATAATAAGTTTTCCACTATACATTACCACATGCTCAGTGTTATGATCAAATACGTTATACATTTTTATTGTTTGGCAGCTATAAAAGTTACCTACTATTCGTATAATAATAATAATAATAGGTATAGCTATAGCTGCAAAAAAGAATGTAGCACAAATTTCATGGCCTAGCAAATATTCAATGTCAATGAACGTTATTTAAATTAATTAAAACATACCTTAACATAACATATAGGAGTAGGTACAGTCGTATTCTTACAAAATAAATAAATTTTGTTTTCAAGGAAAATGTTACAATACTCATTTTATTGTCTTCTTTCCTCATTTTTGGTTGCACTAACTTCCTTGTCTAATTAGCTGTAAATAAGTGACTATATTTGTGTTATAAACCATTGTATCTAAAAATCACAGTGCCTACTTATACCAAAATCTATTTGATTGTCGGCTTTGTATTTGCCTTGAAGGTAATACTCCAATTTATGACCCTAAAGAAATGAGAGAGAATATTAATATTGTGGACTTTTGATCCCATTACTATCAGTATAATCTATTAGGTCGACTTCCATTTTTGTATATGATAATTAATTAATAACCGCGTGGAGCTGCATAGGAGAGCGTAACTGCACTTTACCTTCCAATACAATAAAGTTTATTTTGAGCTATTCAAGGTAAGCATAAATGAAAACGATACATATATATAGATATCATATCAGGTGGGGGTGGTCAATATCTGAATGAACACGTGAAAAAATATATCTCTTACTGGCTGACCCCGCAAACTTTATTTTGCCATATAAATTAAAATCGGATGAAAATTTAGGGTTCTATGTAAAATTATGTTCAAAAAATTAAAGGAAATGTTAGAGGTTAACTCTTATTACTAGAGGATAACTCTTATTACTTGGGGTATAAAAAAATATTGTAGCCGATTCTCAGACCTACATATAAAATTTAATAAAAATCGGTGAAGCCGTTTCGGAGGAGTATGGTAACTGACATTGTGACATGAGAATTTTAAATATAAGATTTTTGAATGCATCTTCTAATATCTATATAGTTTTCCTATTGAATTTATAGAAGATAGAAGATCCTATGGAATTTAATTCTTGCCCAAATTATAGTGATACATTAGATATAGGTACCTATTAGTACTAACATAGACATAACAACAAGAGATCATTTGTTGTTATTCTTTATTATAGGTACCTATCTGTATTGAACGATAATTGTATCTGGGAGTCACGATAAGTTAATATATTAGGTACCAATAAATATTACATAATTTAAAATAATAACGATTCTTTTATATGTTACATACGTCTATATGTAAACAGTGAATTATTAAATTCCCTTTAAACAAGTAGGACGCACACACACTTGCACACCATTGTCAGCGATGTCTCATTGAATGACCTAATAACCTGGAATAGCAGGAAAGGTCCTGTCTTTTATTACTGGTTTATTCAATTTAAGGAGTATTTATTAGGGTTTATTGGGGTGCCAGGTATTTATCTATTCTTTCAGAAAAAAACCCAAGTGATTTACGTTACTTCGTATAAATAAAATCTAGGTTTGATCCTTCGCCGAGTCAATTAATTATAAAAAGTTAACTTGAGTCAGTGGCGTAGGCCATGCCTACTGAAACAATTAATCCTTATATTTTCAATCATTCTTAGAATATAAAATAAAATAAAAAATTCAATTGAGTTTCAAAATATACTGACTAAAAAAATATTTCCTCTGCTGATATATGTTTCCTTGTGATTCAATCTATCGTCTTATTGAATTTAATTATGATCCATTTAGCCATGAAAACGTGGCAGATCGACACACTTTCGACTTTATATTGTTAGTATGGAATAATGGCTTTCTACTATAGGCATAGAATATAATAGTAGGTACATCTGCCTGCCTGATATGTGTGGTGATATTCATGTACGTAGGCCTCAGTTGTAATTTACCATCAGGTGACCAGTTACAAAAAAGAGGGATTTTTATAATTTATCGTAGAAATAAATCAGTCCAGAGAATGAAAGTATAAACACTATATATTGTAATGAATATGATTCACACCTGTATATAATAGTGGCACTTATTATATATTTTTTTATATTCCAGTGGTCTGATTGGGCGGTCATGGTCGATGCTGTTTGCCTCTGTGGGTTATCAAGTGACATTGTTCGACATTGTGCCCAAGCAAGTTACTGACGCCCTTGAAGACATCAGAAAACAACTCATAACATTGCAAAATGACGGTTTATTGAGAGGCAAACTAAATGCTGTTGAGCAATTCCAATGTATAAAAGGTATCTACATACTATGTATACTACTATACTATATATTTTTTAAAATTATATGCTATAAATATACAGAATATTTACAAATGGATCTTGTATAAAATTGTAGGTAAAATATATTAGTAGATATTTACCTATTTATAAGACAATTAGGTATTTGCATAATACCAGTAATATCTAATAAAAATTATGTTGAACGTATATATTTTAAAGTATACCGACTGATATATTTTTATTTTTAAAATACTCGTAAATTAGAATAGTATTTAGAAGCCTTATGATTTTTTTAACTATTCAATTAGAAATTTTAAATAAGTATATAATAGAATGGCTATGTGAAGCATAGGTTCTTAAAATTATACAACCAACATACGATTCGCTATTATACATATCTATATTAGTAGGTATTTCTTTACGTAAGAGTCATGAATAGTATGTTTGTTAGTTATCCTGTTGTAAATGAATTCTCTACAAAACCTTTCATTGTAGGGGTTACACGAGGTTTATACGAGTAGTCTTTGTACAAGTTTTACACATAATTAACAAATAAACATGTTTGATGTTTGTTGATTAGTCATCATGTTAGTTATTTCACGCTGCGAGTTTCATAAATATAAATAATAGAGGTTAAATGGAAATTTTCAACGTTAAAATAATCGGTAAATATTAAAGGCTAATTTACATTATAAAACTGTCACATGAAACTACTTAGTTCCAAATACTTAATTTTATTAAGTATTTTTGAATTATTTTTACAAAACTCAATATAGCGACTTATGGGAGAACCTATCTTAAATAAATAATGCAATTTTTTTTTTATCAGAATATAATTCTTTTGTAAAAAAGACATTAAAGAAAAAACTTATGTTTCGTGTCTATTTGTTCTAGTGGAGTTCTCCCTTTTGCATTTTACATTACTATGTATCTTTTTTCAAAATAACACGAAAAATTTTCATATTCGTCAAATTAAAAAATATTTACTTATCACATATGTTGTATCCATTTGGACAATCCAGGATGGGATGCATCGTTAGATTTACGTATAGTAGGTACTTACCTGTAAACTCAAGATAGTTATTTTCTAGAAACAAAAAATAATGTTTCAGGTTCAACAGATCTATCTGCCACTGTCAAAAATGCTATATTTATTCAAGAGTGTGTTCCTGAGAATTTGGATCTTAAGAAGAAGTTGTATAAAGAATTGGACGCGATAGTGGATAATAAAACAATATTGTCCAGTTCGACCAGTTGCATATTGCCTTCATTATTTTCTGAAGATCTGAAGCACAGGTCACAGGTAAAACTTAGTAGTCATATAGATAGTCTAATAATGACACATCCTAATGTATAATACAATCGGTAGAGCCGATCTTTCATTACATGGAGTTGACTAACCAACTTTTCTTTAGTTTTAAGACGTTTGGTCCTATCCATCTCATGAACCGTCTTGTGAATAGCAAACAAGCGACAGCACACCTAATGGCAAGTGGTAAGTGCTTACCACTGTATAGATACTTATAATCAGCACTATAGAAATCACGTTAACATATAGTGCCTGTGCATGGCTATTTTATTTTATTTTAAGGAAATTATTATGTTAGTATTAGAGAATAACCAGATTATATAAATATACTTATTATTAAAAATTGAGAAAGTTTAATAAAAAGTATATTTTTTAAGACTTTTTCAATCATATATGCAATTAGTAAATATCAAGTAGCTATGTATCGATCTCAACTCAATAGATTTTATTTTTCCTTTTAGGTTATAGTTTCCCACCCAGTAAACCCGCCTTATTATGTCCCCTTAGTGGAGATAGTGCCTGCACCTTGGACAAAACTAGAGGTGGCAGCAAAAACCAGGGAAATAATGAAGGAAATCGGACAGGCACCTGTATCTCTTTCAAGAGAACTGGATGGATTTGTGTTAAATAGAATCCAGTAAGTACTCGCAATACGACATGTATTTATTTATGTTGTCACAATAAGACAATAAGTTTTGCGTAGTTATTTGATGGTGCAATATTTGCACAATGTAATTAAGAATACCGTTATAATTTATACCTAATAGGTACAAAATTTCGTAAAACTAATGAGCAATCTTAATAAATTAATGCAAAGATATGGTCAGAAGAGAATATAATTAAAATAATCTATTGCTTCATTTTTCAATTTACTCTTTTTGAGTAAAAAAATTAAAAAACTCGTATCTCATAGATTTTCACCTATGTAGAAATAACGGTGTAGAATTGATATAAGATGCAATGCAAATTACTTGCATACTAATAGTTATGCAATGAAGCTGCAATTCATAACAGTATTTTATCAGTTATATAATACCTATAGTTAAGTAAGTTGGTAAATCATTACCGTATTTTAGCAGTGAAGCTTAGTTACTAAGAACTTTAATATTCTGTGCTTATTTAAAGAATTATATCAACATTTTCGTGTTAAAAAATGCATAAATTAATGATATAAGTAATAAACGCACATTAAAATGATGTCATGTAGGACATATTTAGCATTTGTTGGTTGTTTGTTTTAAAATACGTAGGTAGTATATCTGTTATAATACTGAATACATTATACTATTACTGGTCGGGAGTGTTATATTTGTGTTGTAATAATATACTTTTGGTAGGTACGCAATTTTGAACGAAGTCTGGCGTCTAGTTGAGGAGAAAGTAGTGGATGTAAAAGACATCGATACTGTGATGTCCGAAGGCCTAGGTATGCGATATGCTTTCCTTGGCGCGTTTGAGACAGCACATTTGAATGCAGAAGGAATGGAAAACTATATTGAGAGGTAATAATATAATCTAATTTCTGTAAAAAAAGTGCCTACTTTCAATAAATATATTTGTTTGATGGTTTATACGTTTGTATTTCATTACAGATATGGTGAAACAATTTACAATGTAAGCCAAACTTTCGGCGATGTCCCTCGCATGACACAGAATAGGAGTGCATTTACGATTTGCCAGCAACTGAATAATATGGTACCTTTGGAAAGGCTGCCCGAGAGACGCGCTTGGCGTGACGCTTGTCTCACTCGTCTCTCCGTACTTAAAAGGGATATGAACACAAAGTATAAGCAATAAATATGTGTATAAACATTAGTCGAATAAAAAATTTTTTGTTAATAGAATAAATAAAGATCTATTTCTGAATATTGACTATCAATAATCTAAGATACAGTTTATGAAAATATTTAGATGTGTGTTAGTGTCTAGTTGGTAGCTACTAATAACAAGGAGGAAGGGAGATTAGTAAAGAAACAAAATTACCAATTACTATAGGTAGGTATATCTAGCTCCTTCCTACATACCTACTTATAAATTCGAGTTATGTATATGATTTTACATTATTACCTACAGTTTCTTGTTGACTATTGGAATTTTTAGGAAATGCACTATAAGTTCTTGAAAATATTTTTCAATTAATATCTAGTACAATTATAGGTACAATTCATAACCACCATAACCCTCCTATTTGCTTCGTTTTAGTTGGGTAAAAATGGTCGCTCAACTGACGGTTGGTTATAGTAACGGATGGCGAAGACAATCACAGATCTGCGCTATACGACATCGTTCATCACATTCTCTATATATTGTATTTTGTAGCCATTGTAGTACTCTGCGCCATGGCATTTCCTCTAGCGCAATATGTGGTTATCATCATAAGATTGTGAAGAAGAATTTCAGAGTCATATCGCTTCTGCTTCAGTCTGGTCAACCCTAATAATCATTTATAAGTTTTCCCATAATCGTGTCGAACATAGTTTTAGATTTTGTGAATGACATACCTAGTTGTAATAATTTGATATTTCCTACAATAGAAAAACATATAAAACTAAAAGTAGTATTACTACCTACTCCAACTTTGACCACAACGTAACTTACTGGCTCTTAAATGTCGGAAGCACCTTTAATTGATTGATTTTTTAATCAAATTAATACCATAGACTGTTTTCTCTTAACCGATACCCCCATAACATGATAGATTGATACAGTGAAATCATATGGTCATGTAACAAAAGTCTTTCTTTCAATACTATGTCGACAGTTGACAAAGCTTGTAACTAATCAACCATGATGGAGATGAAAATACTTCTCTTATATAACGTATCATAACATTGTACTGACTGGACGTAATGATCATTTGCTCGGTGGGGGACTGTCAATTTTTTGCACAGAGTACATTTTATTTGATTGTCTGTGCGATATATACTCTTCGGGTCCGTCGTCTGTGGTTTTTGTCTTATGGTGGTTTGTGTTTGACGAACTAGTCTTTCGTTAATTTTTCATATTTTTATAGATAAAGCTTTTAATTTTATAAAAAAATATGTAGTATTTTTGGTCAGTGGAAATTTTAAGAAAAGTGTTCTATATGTATAAATATAATTTGATACCTACGACAAAATCTCATGACAAAAGACCTTGCAACACGCATAGATCGGACAGTTTTCCAAATGTTTTGTTTTGATAGATAATGGATCCAAGAATGTGCAGAAAAATCAGTAGTAGTGAAAGTCTTCCAGATACTGAAAATGTGGAATATGAAGTATCAAACATCATTGCACCGCAAGAGAGTGAGGAGAACTTTTTGATAGAAGGTAGTCCGGAGCCTAACTCTGTGACTTGGCTGGACGATGATCAAATTGACGAGTTAGATCTTAATATAGACCAAACTAACCTGTTTTTTCATAGAGTTGATAGTGCAGATATAATATACCGAAGTAAAAAGAAAAAATGTAAAATGGTAGGGAAATATGTCATGGGGGATGCGTTAGGAGAAGGTTCCTATGGCAAAGTGAAGGAAATGTTGGATTCGGAATCTTTGTGTCGGCGTGCTGTGAAAATATTGAAGAAAAGAAAGCTGAGGAGAATACCAAATGGAGAGCAGAATGTACAGAGAGAAATCCAATTACTCCGTATACTAAGGCATAAAAATGTGATAGAACTAGTCGATGTTATGTATAATGATGAAAAACAAAAAATGTACCTTGTAATGGAATTTTGTGTTGGTGTTCTACAGGTATGAGTGTTTACTATTTTCTTGCTCTGGAAATATTATGTATCATATTTATATTTGATACTATTGTATAGTCTATCATTTAATAAAATACTTATGCCTTTTCTTAATTCCTTTTTTTAGTGTTTTCTAAATGTAGAGTTAACTTTATGTAATGGTATAAATGTTGGGTTATATTTGCCATATACCTTCATTTTTAATTTTCATATATCGTAATCCAAATAATCTATAAATAAAATATTGTGCAACGAAGTTTGAGATCTATTTCTGACCCAAATATGTATGTGAAATTAGACGGTAAGTTGTAGCTGGTTAAGTTTTTTACAGAATACATGTTTACTTGAAATTCAGACTCTGACATCTAGAGACTATTCTAAATTTGCATTATAACATGGAACAAAATTAAATCTTGTTTTAAAAAAAATTAAAAACTGTATTTGTAACTAAGCTAACCTGTGAATCAGAATCTTTTAAATTTATTATTTTTCTTAGAATGTTTCATATAAAAATACTGTATACAACCTTGGGGTTAACTTTTAAAAAGGAATAGGAAAATCTATACTATTAACTGACAATACTGTGCTGCATTATGCAACCAAATGGCTGAGATGAAGATATCATCTACATCCCAACTATTGGGTTTAATTGTAATCAGAAGAATATAACCATTATATCTTCCTAAGTGTAAAATACATGTTAATCATTAATGCTTCAGGATATGTTAGAGTCAAGTCCTGGTAAGAAATTTCCTCAGAAACAAGCGCATGACTATTTCACTCAACTGCTGGATGGGTTGGAATACCTGCATGGACAAGGAGTAGTGCATAAAGATATTAAACCAGGAAATCTTCTATTGACACTTGATCAGACATTGAAAATCACCGATTTTGGAGTAGCAGAGGTAAATAAAAATAAATTTAAGAAATCTATCAGTATACTATTGTTATTTAAATTTAATTCACACCAAACAACACCTGCAGTTGGAAAATTCCATCACAAAAATTTTGAACCTACTTTTAACAGGTTTCACAATTCTTACAGAATTCATTCATTTCATATATTAGATGTTTGTAAATATTAAAATGTGCAAATATACAGTTGAGAAATAAACCTATAAGTGTAGATACAAATTAAATATTATAAATGTGTTGAAAATTATTATCATATTACACCTATTGACATCTTGTTTGTAACAAATCATATTAATGCTTACATAATATTGCTGTTTCATGTGCAACATACTCTAAGGAAAAAGTCAAGTGTTTTCAAGACTGGCATTTGTCAAAGTCTACATTTATAAAGAGTAATACAGAGACGATAAAATGGTTGTTGAAGTTACTAAATATATTATAAGTACAGGATTGTTATTCTAGTTATAGTTTTACATAAGTAACTTTGATAATTTTTAGGAATTAAACATGTTTTCTCCGGAGGATACATGTTATACAGGTCAAGGCTCCCCTGCCTTCCAGCCACCAGAAATTGCAAATGGTGCTGAACAATTCTCAGGGTTTAAAGTTGATATATGGAGCAGTGGAGTTACATTGTAAGTGCAGCTGATCTTTCCTATTGTGTATTTTACGAAACAATTGCTAAAAATTGATGATTTTATTATAATTTCTTGATATAATTTCATTATATAGGTTAGATACTATTACTATTGGTTACAGACTACTACTAGTATGTATACTAATTCTTATATATATATATATATATATGTATATATATATATATATATATATATATATATATATCCGCGTAAAATAGTGACCTTGAGCAAAAAATAAAAAATATATATTAATAATCTAACCCAATAAAAAAGTTTCATCGTTCTAGCTTCAAAAATGAAATTTCCATACATAATTCCATACAATTCAATCAACAGCCAAAAACTAAGTTTCAAACTACTATCTTTAAAATGAAGATACTTCCATACATACCATACATACATTACATCACCCCTTTCAACCCCTTATAACCCTTTTTCTTGTTTTTTTTTAATGCTACTTATATTAGTGTCATCATGTACCAATGATAAGATGTCGCTATACTGTAACCATTTATGGCTGAGGCCTGTGGCGGTAGGTTCTGATATTTTCTATAAAAAATGTGTTTCAAGTTTCTAGCTTTAAAAAATGACAATACATGCATACAACATTTTAACTCCCCTTTTGACCCTTACAACCCATTTTCGTTAATTATATTTAATCAATACGCAAAAAAATAAGATTGAAGCTTAAACTTTTAAAATATTCCTCTTTTAGTCTCTTATAACCCTTTTTAGCATTAAAAAGTAACCTATGTCCTATCTCAAGATCTAGACTTTAAATTTCATTTAAATCAGTTCAGAAGTTTTGGCTTTTAAGACAGACAGACAGAGTCACTTTCACTTTCATAATATTAGTAAGGTATTTATTAAATAAACTGACCCAAAAAAAGCGTAAGAAAAAAGCTTCATCGTTCTAGCTTCAAATATGACGAATTTCCATAACAACTTTTATCTGCTATTTTATTTTACCCCTTGAATGGTGACAATGTGATATTTACAAATTTAAATGTCATATTTATTTATATTTAATAAACAGTTTAAAGATTTCTTTAAATTCTTTTGAAAATTGGTGGTCCAGTTGGCCAATAACATAATAAAATTTTGTTAAATCAAAATAATAGATGTGATATTCTAAATTGCAAACTATCCCTCTACTTGCGCGAACCATATCTCTGACTCTACTGGCCAGAATGAAGAAACGCGTATTCCGAACCTGAATAGCTCGGATGGAACGGTAGATGTTGTTTCTTCCAAGGAAATGTTGTTCATATGTATTGACAACATTTTTAATATTATATGTTGTTTTATTCTTCAAAAATATTAATAATATGTTCTTACGCTCTTGTCCAAGAGCAGGGTCATCAGTTATAGTCTATACCAGGATTATATTTATGTATTTATAAAATAAAATTGCAGAGCAAACGTTTATTCATTTAAATTCATAAGGAGACAACGGATTGACAATAATCAGTTGCGCGCGCAACGCGCTGCTTATACAAATGACATATATGTTTATTTATGACATATGAGCGTTAATAAGTCGCATATCTAGTACAATACTGGTGTAATTCAGAAATTAAAAATTTTTGAAAATAGACTTAATGACACAATTATAAAGTAGACTTTCCAAAATATCTAATTTTTTAGTTAAGCCATTATTATAATAAGTGTGTATTCAACCGCATAAAGATAACCTTGCATTACCATTTTCAACCCCTTACAACCCTTTTTTTTAAAAAGTAGCCTATGTCCTTCCTCGGCGTCTAGACTATATGGGTACCAAATTTCATTTAAATCAGTTCAGTAGTTTTGGCGTGAAAGCGAGACAGACAGACAGACAGACAGACAGACAGACAGAGTTACTTTCGCATTTATAATATTAGTAAGGATGACTTTGTTTACCATGCAGAAAAAAAGTGCAAGGATATATTACTTGTATGACTGATGCTAAATTCTTAATTTTTTTGTTACTGTATTTGTTCTGCAGAAGTCTATTACATTACGTAAAATGTTATTAGTACAAATTTTCTTGACAAAATATACTAAACCAATTAAATATTTTTTTACTATTAGTCACAAAATATGAACAGTCAATTTCCTATACACTGTTAAGCCTTAGTTCTTTAGTTCCAATATGAAAAACATTTTTGTAAATATTTTGGAAGAAAATCCAAATAATTTTTCATTGATTGCAATTCGGATCTGACTATGAATAGTGCTTCCACTTTACATAGCCAATATAAGTTTATTGGAATGGCAAAGTCATTGTCATATTCTATATATTATCTATACCTAAAATATTTTTCTGAAAATTGCAATCCATTATGTTTTTATGTAATTGTATTTAATGTCTCTGTACTCATTACTATACTAATTAACTGCCTCTATTTTTTCAGATACAATATGACAACAGGGCGGTATCCTTTTGAAGGTGACAATGTATATCGGTTATTGGAGGCAATTGGACGTGGAGAGCCGGCTCCACCACCGGAATCGCTGGGACCTTCTCTTGGGGATCTACTCACTCATATGTTAAAAAGGGACCCCCAATTGAGGCCATCTGTCCAGCAAATTAAGAGGCATCCGTATGTATACATAACTATGAATTTAAATAATTGAAGTAAATTGAAAGAGAAGCAAAATGTATATTTTTTAATTTTGAAATGTATCTCAAGAAATTTAAGCGGCACTTCTTCAATATTTATTTCTTCTAGACACTAATCTCCTTATTACTAAAGATGCCAAATTTCTTTTAAACCTGTTTTAGCTATTAAACTGAGTTGCCTTTTTGTTACTAACTAGTTTCTATGTTTAAATGATTGTGACAAAACTCTGTAATTAAAATAGGATTGTAGGTTCTACTTTTTATGAAGACGCCCTGTAAGAGCATTCTATGGTGTACTTATTATTTTCACAGGCTATCAGATTATTTAATTAAAAAAATATATGCAATATTAGATGTCGATATATTCTAAAAGTATATTTATAATTTTATTTTACACAACTACATACTACATTCTATTATATATGTTATATTATATACTACATTATATTCTTTCATATATGGGATATATTCAACTAAATATATCCCATATTTGAAAGAATATAGTATTGTTAGGTATTCTATGATTGTACTACATTGTAAAAACTATTTGTGCGCAATAACTTTTCTTTATCTAGATAACTACAATAGCAGGTATCTTTAATCTGGTTATGTTAATTTAAGCTTTGTTATGTTTATTTGACTGACGAATACACCATTATTTAAGGATAATAAATGAGGACGTAGGCAGATGTAGGTATTATGATCATATTTTCTTTTCGTCAAATTATTCAGTATTTAAAAGCATAACTAGAACAACACAGTTGAATGTCAGACCATGTTTTAATTGATAATCTAAGATTTGAATAATTATTTTTTAATAAATTTTTAATTATATCTTTATATTTAGTTTTAATTATTTATGTCATTTTTTATTAAATTATTTATTGAATTAATTAAAATAATATCCCTAATAATGTAAATAAGTGCAATGAAGAACATATAATTTGTTATGTCAAAAATTAATTATGGTATAACTTAACAGTTGGGTACGAGCCCAGCCGCAATTGCAGGCCGGTGAGCGGCTCGTGAGTCCGCGGTCTCGGCGCTCAGACGAACTCCACAACTCTACTGTTATACCGTACCTGGTCGAGAAACATTACGCCTCGGCGCAGGAGTATTTTACTGAAAGGGATCTTAGGCACGGTGAGTACACTATATTTGATAATGTTTTTAATGCTATCGTTCCTTATAAAACAATTTCTAATTTAATATTTTATTATTACAAACTCATCTTTTTATTTTATTTAATGGTTACTGTCCCTAAAAGGGCGCAATACCAGTAGTATGCACCTTGCATCTTATGTCAATTCGTACAAATAGCATATTCTCGAATTTGATAGTTATGGGGACTATGATATCGATCTTACTGCTAACAAATATAATATCTGGCTAATTGGCTTAATTTTTAATTGTTATCCGTTCATTCTTAACTCCAATTTTAGAATTGGTGGTATGGCATCATAATAAAAATCTGTACATTTGAAGAATACAATATTGGTTAATGGAAGTTAATTAGAAAATAGCGTATTATTTTTCTGGAATTCACAATACATATTATACATAAATTATTTTTTTATAATAAATTAAATTCATATAAATTATACTGGTAGGACTTAAATTATTAGCCCCTCAATTTTCCAGAGGTTGGAGAAGTGCGCGTAGCCGGCATGGTCCGGGCTCGTATTTGCTCACTGAGTTAGGTTTGTTGCATAGACATAGATATAGATAGACTACGCAAGTACCTCAAATTGTATGAAATAATGCGTGTCATTTCCTGACTACTGCCTTGATTGTAATTGCTATTGGTAACAAACTCCATACTGCACTGAAATTTTATCAATAATGTGTTATCCACGTTCAAAAATTTTTTCTGTTTTCGAAATCCATGTAAGCGTAATTTAGTATTAAAAATTGACATGCGAGGTAAGGTATCTGCAGTTGCGTGATCTATATATCCATATCTGTAGGTTGTTGCATGAGGGTGCAGATGTCGATGTCGAAATATCATGTCATCTAGTCACTTTAAAAAACATGACTTTACAATTACTATGCCGTCCTTGAATATCGAACAATATTAATCACTGAATAATTGAAATTGGGTGAATCATTTCATTAACATATGATAATGAATGACACATTTGGGACATTATTGTTCGTGAGATATTTAAGTTCGCATGATTATTGAATACCTTGCATGATTTTAGTGATGTTTGTACCTTACCTTACATAATAAGGAACTTTGTATGGAATTGAAATGTTTTATGCATAGTAACTTAGAATTTTCACAAAATTTGCCAATAGCTTTATGTGAACTGCTAATGTAAGATATAGAAATTTGAATGGGTCAAAACACAATTATTGGAAATAATTAAATATGATCAAAGTGTAACTGAAGTGGTAACCGTCGCCTATATATATTAATATCAAACACACTATCATGTGACGCTAGAGACTACTAATGCGTTGTCATTGCGGAGGACTAAGTTGTCATGCTTCTTATCTTGATTAGCTTCCTTATCTAATTATGCAACGAAAATACAGTTTACAGAACGAGCTGCTTTGTGGCTGAAATAGGTGAGACGAAGGCAATAATCAAATACATATCGTAGGAATAGTAAACATACGTAGGAAAACCATGTGTTACGCGAACGAATTGTAAAATTTATTTAGAACATTAAAATACGCTTCATTACTCAATTAGGAGCCGGACCAGGTCGCCGGAACCTTAAAATATTCATAAATACCACTTATTTATGAATATTTTAAGGTTCATAAAAAACTTCCATTGTTGTAACATTAGAATGGGGTATAATCTTGTGGTGTTTAAAAACAAGCATTAAAACCCTTGACAGATAAAATATTACTAAACTCAATAAAAAGAACAGTTTAATTGAGAGCCCTATTTTTTAAATACATTCTAAATTGGACCGTTCCAGAGTTGGGCGATGGTGGTTCCCGAACACTGTCAACTGCCGAGTTATCAGACGCGGAGTCGTCTCGTCGAAAACACCGGTGGCATTCTTCTTGCGGACGCCTCCCATCTTGCCGCCTCACGTGATCTCCAGAATGATACTATACAAAGAGCCACCATGCTCTTTACCCCGGCGCCAGACATAGTTTCGAAGTTTTGAACACTTTTGAAGACCTTTCATAAAATAATTGAACACAAATCGTCAAATAATAAAAAAGTGCTTGCTACGCTTGTTCTGTATGTTACGGAAATAAAGCATACTATGCCTACATTTACGCATTCACTTGTCAATATATTGATGTATGTACAGAAACCGACATGAAATGGCAAAGATAAAATATTGCTCAAAAATTTATTAAATTAGCCATTTTTAATTTATTGGCGTATTTGAAGCTATGTCTGTCAACGGCTTTAGACAAATCTTATATACTTCAAAACACGTACCTAATCTCAGCGTTAGTAAACTAAAATGACCATTATTTTTTTATGAATAGAATATAAAAGAGAATAAATATTATAATACAAAACTTTTAAGGCTTTCGAGGTTCTTAATCCACTTAGTATACATAGTTAAAGGGTTCTTACCATGATTAATATAGTGATGAAAATTAACCATACCAGTATTTTGGCAGTTATGTTAATATCGTGGCTCGCTATATTCACGTGTCGCAATATTATAATGCTTATAAAACATAATATTCATAGAATAAAATATTAAACAAAATATTCATAGCAAGAACATTACAAATATTCAATAGAATTCAAAATCTGTCTACCGAATGTATGAATAGAAATAACACAGCGCGCGAACGATTATTTTCTGAAAGTACATTTAACTTGTTTCCAAGGAAATTTAATACAAGATTATCTATTTATTTAACGACTATGTTATTTAAATTTTTAAACTGTTTAAATATAAACATACAGTTTGTCAATGACTATTGGTTTGTTGTGAGTAAATTTCATTATCGTCATAATCATCGTTTGTCATATTTTTGTCTTCTTAATATTATTATATAATAGATACCCTCTCTAAGCCCATACCTTATCAATGTGAAATGTTTTATAATAATAGCACTTTAACGTTTTTGATGTTTCTTGTTTTGTTAGGTTAATTTACTAAGTCTTAAATACATTTAGTGTCTTGATACTTTATAATCTTTCTGGCACTTGTTATTATAATGTTACAGTTTAATTGCCATTAGATTAATACTTGCGAAAGATCTTTATGTGCCGGTGTTCACCAACCATTCTAGCCCTGTCTATTCATTATTAATTAATAACTATTTAGAGAAATTAAAATAATATTAATATGTTAAAACGAGTCGACAGCGTCAAAAACTAGAAAAATAATAATTAAGTACCCAATAGATGCAGAACATAATAATTATGGCATAGCAATCTACTTGGTTCTATTCGCGATCTGTTGTTGATTGGCAATTTTTTAAGTTAGATTTTGACGCTATTGGCTACTTTATGATGAGTGATCATAACATAATAATTTGTTTCTTTCAAAATGAATGATAACTGATTGTTTTAATATGTTTTGATTTGATTGAATGAGTGATGTATGTTGCACACATTTTGTTTTCTTGAGGCAATAATGGGTGCATGTGTAAATTCTTTCTTCTCGTATAGAGAATTCTCACATCTGAATCATAAGAAGTGGCAATAAAGATATATTTTTGTATTGAGAAATATATAGTAGTGAATTTTAAATTTATGATGAAGGATTTATATTACTTCACATTATATAGAAGCCATTTCTTTTGAATTTCGTCTAACATACTTAATGAATTGTGTGAATGTGGCAATTATTTTCGAGTATTATAACTATAATGGAGTTTTGAATATGATTCTGTTGAGAGTTCTTATTTTGACTTAAAGTACAAGTTGTAGTGACTGAATATGAATGCTGATGTACTCATTGGTCACAGTGTAATTGTTGTTGCACAGTGCAGTTCTGATGCATTATGTTGTCCATTGCATCGATTTGTTAATATATCTCAACATGGACCTCACTCTTTATATTATTATTTTGTGAAAACACATTAGGTTAGGTAGGTCAAATTAATAATAATTTTGCAACGCTTTTTAATACTGTCTGTTAATTTTAAGTAAAGACTAGTAGTGAAAATGACAGATTCTCACAAAATTTACCAATGTTATTTTTGAGGCAAAATTAATAGAAGTGCAATATGAAATCCAATCTCTGTCATTTTTGTATATTTAATTTGGAAATTGGTTAAATTGGATGTCATCAAGTTTGTTATATATAGTTATATTAATAGTATGTAGAACAAATATTGTTTAATTAAATAGGCTAATACAGACTGTGTTAACGTACCCTATTGTGTGCCCTCATTCATAGTTGTACCTATTTACATGTTTGTTGAATTTTTGACTTAACGTCTAGATGATAAGATCCATATTTGTATATCTGTCAAAGTAACAGTGTACCTGCTAGACATGTTCAGATTACTATCTATGTGTAATCTCAGTCAACAGATGGTTTATTCTCATTATTTTCTTCTGCTGGACTGATTACTGTTGGTATTATTATATATATATATATATATATAATTTTATAAAATTGCATACTAGTTGACAATAAGAGTATTTTTATTTCCTGTATTATTTGGCTTATTTTTGATCAAATGTTGAATGGAAATTTAGAACAAGTTGCGAAGAAATGGGAATAAAGCATTACGGTAATTTTAGGAAGTAGAATTTAATTTTTTTTTCTAAATAACATTTCTGCGCTAAATTAACACGTGTTGTTTTGTTGTGCAATAACCGTAGTTGGATGGATGCTAGTTAGTAGGTAGGTTAACCATTTTACTAAGCCATATGTACATGAGATTATTGCGCAGATGATCTCATATCGCCAAAGGCGTTTCTTTGCAAAAGTATTTGTAGCGGTAGTTGTTCACCCATTGTTTTGCACTAATTAATTAATTAATTTTAAAAGAAGTGAGGTCTTACAGATTACTGTTTAATATTATATGTTTACGCTTAAAACAGATTTATGTACAGTGCCTGAACTGATGAAGCTGCGCGGAAATGCGGAGAAAAAGAGAATATTAATATATTGTAAATAAAAGGTAGAAAATGACGTTATTTGCATATTATTTATTTACAACCCTAAACATATCTTATTGGAATATTTAATACAATCAGTTTCTATAATCTGTATTATCATACATTTTACCATTATTATTAATCAGCGTAAATACGAGATAATTCTAAAAGCCTTGTCTCACGTATCTCAGCTGCCGAGCAGTTTGCTTTGTAAAGACCGACCGACGTGAAATTATAGGGTATGGAGACAGGAGACAGGAAAGTCCGGCAAATGATAACATTGGTAAAGTTCATGTATACTTAGACGATGCAGACAGGGTCTAAAATGAAATGTAAGCGACATTGTATTTGTTCGGATAGCGCATTTAAAAACTAAACTTATACTACTACTACTAAACTTATTAGAACTAATATTTGGACAGTAAATTTTATTTAAACAACTAATGTAATATGTGAAATTAAGTAAATGTTAACATTATAAAAACATGGGTATATGACTATACATATATAGATTTATTATGTGTTCTGATCTGATGAAGCTAATCCCCACGAAGTACCTCGGTAGGCTGGCTGATTTTTGTAACTTAGATGACGATCCTAGTAAAAAAATTAGGTTGTCTATACATATCATACATTGCAATTTCTATGCACCTTACGATTGTTTAGGTCGCACATAACAAATATGGTACCTTAGCACTTTTTTTTATTATTATTAAATAGTAATTTAACCAAGACCGATATATAAAAGTATATAATATTGTGCAATAAATTAATTCATGAAACACCTTTATTTTAATTATGGCGATTTACTACCTTCATTATTACATCAGCTACCTGCCAAAATTATTTCCCGTCAAAATAGGTCCATCTATTTCAGAGATTAACTGGAACAAACAGACAGACAAAAATTATAAAAAATGTTATTTTGATGTATGTACCGTATTTATATTCATATGCATGTAGTAAAAAACGGTTATTTAAATAATAAACACTTCTAATTAATTTATATCTATAGATTAATTGTTTGTTACAGTAGAAGTAAATTAAAACAAACATAAATTAGAAATAATGTACAAATCGCGGTCTTATCGCATAAATAATCTCTTCATCTTTTTCTTCATAACCGTACCTTATTATTATTACCTACTATCATATAGGCAATATCTGAAAATGTTAATAAATAAATTGTTGCGTATAGGTATGTAGGTTCCATATCAATAGTGACGACCTAAAAGTATGGGTAGATATTTATATTCCTACCTATACTTGTCTGTAGTCTTATACTTAGAGGATACTAAACGCTATTGCAGGTGAACAAATGTTGGCAGGTATAGTGTGTGGCTTTGTAGTGTCGCAAGTCCAGTCGGCCCGGTTCACAGCCACAATGCGCGGAAGTCGGCCGCTGGTGTAACCAACGCCTTCCGCTATATCAGGTCCAACTGCAATTAGACCATTATGCTTATCGAGAACAATACCCGATATTATAATTTTCCGATTATTCCGAATTAGTGATGTGCATACCGGTAATTTTAATAGTAGGTACTATAAATAAACAGGTAATATATACATAGGCGCCTTCCTGACCGGGTCGTTTTCATTTCGACTAGGTGTCGAAATGAAAATACATATTACTGTCTACCTATATACTGTGATATTTGTAAGGATATTGAGTAGGTACCTATCAAGTTGACTTCAGCTAATTTATCTTTACACTTATAAAAATGTATTCTTTATAATATGTAGCCATACTCGTATGTACATGTACATAACTAACTGCTTTATTGGAATGTTGCCATCGTCGTTTGTAGCTAACGAAGTGAAGGGTTGTCGATGTTAGGTCATTATTGTTTTTATAACTAAGAAAAGTTCAAGGTTGCAATTTATTACAGCTATATATTTCACTATGAATACCTATATGTTTTCTGTTAACTATGAGTACCTGTTCACATTACTACAGAAGATACATTATGATAAGTTTAAGGTCTAGTTCACAAGACGCTTATTACCGCTGCGTTGTACATGCATCCATCTCGAAATGGCATATGAAGACATTTATCTACAGATTATACTACTAGGTATTAATTAATATTATCTCCAAGTTTCTAAATAATAATAATTCTAATGTTTATTCACAAAACGTGCATGTTACAATCGTGATGTTATCGTTATGTTACCGCTAGCTTCGAACTAGGGAAACTTCAGTCTTAGCAGTCAGTTGCTTCGCAGTATATGCCATATGTCTATCATAATATAATTATTTTTATTATAAGTAAAAACACTTAAAAATATATAATGGAATGATGCTCCCGCCTGCGCTAGCGGTTTACACTGGCGGGGCACCAGAGTTCAAATGAGCATGGAGTCATGTCTGTTAATGCATCTTGACAAATTTTCCAAGCATTTATCATGATGGTTTCCAGAGGGAGCTAAGTGGAAGTCAACTTGACATGGTATATGTATTAGTAATGGGGTCAGCGTTCACATTACTAACACATGTATTTGGCTGAACAGTTAATGAGACATTACATTTTATTCCTCCGGAATAGCCTGAACAAATGGTGCCAACTACGGGCAGCACATACAAACACTATACCCCTGTGCTGTTCATGCATGTATAT